AATTCGTACTAAGGGTGGCGAATTCGAAACAATCTAAACCTATTCTAAAATTTGATGCTATTTCCGAATAAATTTAAAAAAATGCAAAAAATTATGGCGTTTGACTTTGATGCAGTTTTTTATGTATATTCACGATTGGCATAAAATTCTATGTCGATTTAGGGATGTCCGTCCAACTGGCTTATTAAATTTTACTCAAATGTATATTATGTCTGCAGGACTTTTGGTATAAAATGGGTCATATAGGTTCACGTTTTGGTATAGTCCCCATATAACGGCACCTCCCGATATTCGGTATTTTGATAATTTTCGCGACATTATTCACCGGAATTGTTTTCCAATTTGGTATTTAAAGTTCGTAATGGATATTGCAGCCTATGACGGTACCTCCAATATTCGGTAATTTAATGATTTTAGCGACATTATTAACCAGAATTATTTCAAATTTGGTATTTGAAGTTCGTAATGGGTACTACAGCTTATGATATTTTTGTATGTGCAGGTCCACATCTTTATATAGCCCCCATATAACGGTACCTCCAAATATTCGGTATTTTCATGATTTTAGCGTCATTATTCACCGGAGTAGTTTCAAATTACGTATTTAGAGTTCATAATGGGAACTACAGTCTGTGATAGAAATTTGTCTATGCAGGTCCAGGTCTTTTGATGATTTTAGCTACACTATTCACTGTTTATTTCAAGTTTGGAATTTGAATGTGGTAATGGCTTATGACAAACAAAGCCTATGTAGATCCACGTCGTATAGACCGATTTTTTTTTTTGTTACGGGAGCTATAATAATACGATGATAGTGTAGGGTATCATATACTCGAACCTGACTAACTTTTGACCTTTCCCTACTGGTTTTGTTTTAGCACATTGCACGACCAAGTGAAAGCTTAATTTTTAGAAATTTTGCAGCCAACTGATGTGGCTGCAATTTAAAAGAAAATCACCCCTCGAACTTAACATTGTTTTCAATTCTTCAATTTATCAATATCCCAGTGCAGCAGCACCAAGAGCCTTGATGAAATAATGTATGCACTTTAATTGAGATTAAGTGGACAACTGTGAAGGCAATTACCCCAAGAACGTTTCTACCATTCCGGCAGCCTAGTCATAGGAAAGAACACGAAGGCAAACAAAGGAGGTTCTATCAAAACAATTGAGACAATGTCATGCATGCATACAAAATTAATCATGATTAACATCTTTAATTGATTTTAATGAAAGAAATTTCAAATACACAATTGCCACTTTTGTCACAACAATTGAAAAGGTACTCGTTTTATTTAAAATTGTCAGAAGAGTAAAAACTGCATTCCCTTGTATGACAATAGTGAGAAAATGCAAGGCATATGAATTTAAATGACCCTCCCTTTCCTGGAAATTGCTGAAGTACAATGTCTTTCTCATGAGAAAATATTCCTTTTCAGAAGTTTTGAATTTAATCCTTTAATGTAAAAAAAAAGATTTTTTTTTTTAAAATTCTGCTCACACAAGTTATGATTGGCAATTAAAACCCTAATGCCATGTTACGTTAGAACTTTTTGTAGGGTTAACCTACTTTGAGAGGATTTATTTGAAATAAAAGTAATGGATATGACAATTTAAATCCAAACCCTGTGGGTTAACCCTCATATATATAAACGTACTGTAACAGGAAATTTGAATACAGTCTTTCAACACCTCCGAAAACAAAAATGTATTCTCATATCCTTAAGATAGATACAAGGTGAGATAAAAACTGCAACAAAGTTAAACGCCATAATTTTACATTTTTTTTTTTTAATTTTATTGAATGAAAGCAAAAAATGTCGGAAATAGAATCAAATTTTAGAATAAGTTTAGATTTTTACGAATTGGCACGAATTATGGTCTTCAAACGGCCAATGAAACCGTCACACGCTGCCCGAATGTTGCTGTGCGGTATTTTGGCCCATTCCTGCGAAGAGCTCGACACTTTGGTATTTTTTAGTGCAACCTTGCTTTTCAAAATACTGCAGACACAATAGTCCAACGGATTGGTATCCGGAGATTTCGGTGGTAATTGTGCACTAGATGGTGCTGAGTCCTATTGGAATGTCCAAGGGTCTGCGGCCAAAATGTTTGCGTACCCAAGACTTTAATACACCCTCCGGAATATTTTCGCGATAATGTTCGGCATTTATTCTGATGCCAAGGTCGATTAATACGAGCGAAGAGCGACCATCGGCTGTTATGGCGGTTCACAGCATCACCATGACCGGCGCTTGAGTTCTTGTGACCAACCGAAGGAGCACATTTTCACCTGACCTCTTTGTCAAGTAAACACGATCGGTGTATGTTCTTGCACCTTTTTGGAATTTCAATGGCCTACCCCGAGCTCATTTCTCAATATTTGCCGAATGGAATATTGCGATATGTTCAGCTCGCGAGTCTTTTTCGGCCACTGCGACACGGGTTCCTATCAAATCGCTTCTTTACTTTCCGAACCATTTCTGCTGATGTTGCTGTTTTCTTCCGTCCACTTTCTTGATGTCGGGCTACCAGTAGCAGAGACACAAAGATTTATTTACATTCAATTCGGGAGTGCTTTAACGTTAACCACTTGTGGATTTCCAGCCATATATAAAGAAATCACACTATCACGATTGTATTCACTGGAAAATTTTTAACAGCTGTCGGACGAGTGGCTTTGAAATGACCTCAGTCTGAAGATGGTTGCAATTTTTTCACCTCACTCTATACATCCTCACATAAGAAATACACTGAATTTGCAACCGATGTTGGTGTAACTTCATTTTCTAATTCTCAGTAATTAGGAAACCCTACAACAACAGCATTTCATAATAGGCCTAACTAAAGTCTCACCGACTGACACATTTAAGATTTAATGTCTTCTTAAATGACTTCTAATTGTTTTCACATTAACCCATTTTAATAATTTTCCATACAAAAAAAAAACTCGGATAAAATCAAAAGGTGTTTAAATGCCTAACAACTTGTTGTTACGACGTTGTTCGTTATTAATTATCCATTTCCGGAAATGATCATCGATCACCCGGATGGTTAGCACCTGCAGTTATCTAAACATATTTAAATAATCATTTACAAACTGATTTGATTCTTTAAAATTACTTTCTCTAGTTACGGCCAATAATGTATTTTAATAGCCTAAATCGATGTGACCGCCTCAAATCTAATTGTCGTTTTCTCTTACACCAGAAGCAGGGTTTGAATGGATTCAGGGAGAATTTGGAAAATTATAGTTTTAAATATTTCTAAAGTTAAAATGATCACAGAATATTTCGATTACAAATAATAAGTATGTAATTATCATCATTTCCGCATGGTTAAAGGCTCATAAGTCCTTTTCAATTCTCAATTCTCTATCGGGAAATAGAGGGTATTCTATTCGGGAAATAGAGGGTATTAAAGTCCTCTATTCATAAGGATCTTAGAGGCTCTTCAAGTCATTAGAGGGGACTTAAAGGGGTTTATATGCTCAAGACAACCCATAGAGGGTCCCCTAATAAAGGGAGGACCCTTGAAGGGTCTTCTATTCTATGGAGGACCCTTGAAGGGTCTTCTATTCAATAGAGGACCCTTGAAGGGTCTTCTATTCAATAGAGGACCCTTGAAGGGTCTTCTATTCAATAGAAGACCCTTGAAGGGTCTTCTATTCAATAGAGGACCCTTGAAGGGTCTTCTATTCAATAGAGGACCCTTGAAGGGTCTTCTATTCAATAGAGGACCCTTGAAGGGTCTTCTATTCAATAGAGGACCCTAGAAGGGTCTTCTATTCTATAGATGACCCTTGAAGGGTCTTCTATGCTATAGAGGACCCTTTAAAGGTCTTCTATGCTATAGAGGACCCTTTAAGGGGACCTTTTAAGGGTCTTCTATTCCACAGATAACCTTTAAGGGTCTTCTATTCTATAGAGGACCTTTTAAGGATCTTCTATTATATAGAGGACCCTTTAAGGTTCTTCTATACTATAGAGGACCCTTTAAGGGTCTTCTATACTATAGAGGACCCTTTAAGGGTCTTCTGTACTATAGAGGACCCTTAAGGGTCTTCTATACTATAGAGGACCCTTTAAGGGTCTTCTATACTATAGAGGACCCTTAAGGGTCTTCTATACTATAGAGGACCCTTTAAGGGTCTTCTATACTATAGAGGACCCTTTAAGGGTCTTCTATACTATAGAGGACCCTTTAAGGGTCTTCTATACTATAGAGGACCCTTTAAGGGTCTTCTATACTATAGAGGACCCTTTAAGGGTCTTCTATACTATAGAGGACCCTTTAAGGGTCTTCTATACTATAGAGGACCCTTTAAGGGTCTTCTATACTATAGAGGACCCTTTAAGGGTCTTCTATACTATAGAGGACCCTTTAAGGGTCTTCTATACTATAGAGGACCCTTTAAGGGTCTTCTATACTATAGAGGACCCTTTAAGGGTCTTCTATACTATAGAGGACCCTTTAAGGGTCTTCTATACTATAGAGGACCCTTTAAGGGTCTTCTATACTATAGAGGACCCTTTAAGGGTCTTCTATACTATAGAGGACCATTTAAGGGTCTTCTATACTATAGAGGACCCTTTAAGGGTCTTCTATACTATAGAGGGCCTTTAAGGGTCTTCTATACTATAGAGGACCCTTTAAGGGTCTTCTATACTATAGAGGACCCTTTAAGGGTCTTCTATACTATAGAGGACCCTTTAAGGGTCTTCTATACTATAGAGGACCCTTTAAGGGTCTTCTATACTATAGAGGACCCTTTAAGGGTCTTCTATACTATAGAGGACCCTTTAAGGGTCTTCTATACTATAGAGGACCCTTTAAGGGTTTTCTATGCTATAGAAAACCCTTTAATAATTCCATAGATGACCTTCGGAGTGCCTTTATTCCATAGATGACCTTCGAATTGCCTTCTTTTCTGAGGAGGACTCATGAACGGTCTCCTATTCGACACATTCAAGCTTAACGCCTATTTCACTTACCTGCTGATTCGCCTCATCATCATTGCCCGCCAACAATTTCACGGTGCTGCCATTGGCCAAATTAAAACTACCATTGGCCGAATAGTTATGCTGTTTCATGGGTGTGGTGGGACTACGCGAAAATTATGGAAATCCCGACTGCCACCCACTTCTTGGCTATGATAATCCGAATGAATATCATTCAAGGTGTTATTGCTGCCACTTATGGTTGTCACACCGCTGGTACTCATGTGACCCGATGTGGCCGTTGTTCTGCCACTCAGAGTACCGCCACCACCACCTACACCCACGCTACTGCCATTTCTCAAGGCCGTACTGCGGCCATCCGAAGAACTCATCATTTCGGTTGTTGTTATATTCGAATATAACTACGTGTCGTTTGGGGTGAGGGTGTTACGGGTGGTCGTCGTGGCCCCTCACTTTCCGCCACTGAGCCTTCGATCCTTCGTCGCATATTTACCCAGGATAGGCGATGCTCTTGCCTACGATCCATGGTGGGGGGATTACTGGAGTACGCATCATGTCCCATGGCATTGGGTGTGTTGCCCATCACATAAATGCTTGTAGCTGTCGAATCGCTGCGTATACGCATGTCATCCTCGTTAATGTGTTGTTGCTTTGTTGGCTGATACGATTTGTGGGTGGAACCAGCATCTGATGGTGCTGGATGCATTGCTGCCGGACTTTCGCTATATGTTGACTGTGACTGTGACTCTTGTGGTTTCGGGTTCTGCCTCCGTGAGGCCACAATAGTTTTCAATTGTTGCATATGCTCATCAAGTGCTTCATCACTTGTCCGAGTTTTAAACGTTGGATTCATTGTGCCACCACTTAGTCTGCTGCTATGTTTTGCTCATTTACTTCGTCATTCATTCGCAAGAAACGTGTTTCCTAGTTGTTTGAGTTCTTCTTCTCTCCGCTGTGGCTTTAAGCAGAGGGCATTGGATGCCAATGCTTTTGAAATTGTGTATCTACTAATAAGGCGTATCTGTAATAAATGCATGAAAATACAACGAAAAAAATAATAAATTAATATTAATTATTTCTTATTAATAAATTTATGTTTTTTTTTTTCTTCTCTTCTCTTGTTTTGTTAATGATGATGATTATGGAGATAAAATCTTTGAAGTTAAATTTTACTAACAATAGGATGATATACGGAAATCATTTTTGGTCAAGATTGCATAGATCACGATATTCAATATGACATTGAACATCGGGGTGGCGAACCATGTAATGGACATAAAAAAAATGATGATGAGTTGGATTATATTAAGTACTTTTTATGAAAGGTATGAGCTAATGGAAAGGTGATTACGACGAGCATTATCTTCAATTTAATTAACAATTCCGCTGTGCAGTGAGGATGTCTTCAATAGAATAGTTCCGAACAAAAAAATGCTAAGTTTGTCGAAAATAAAACAAGGTTTTTATATCCTCAGCCATATGGCTACAAAGGGTATATATCATTTGATACGGCCAAAACGTGCCTAGTCGAAATAACGGTTTTAGACCCTAGGTCTCTCTGGACCAAATCCGTTTCAGAACATTTGGAGTCGGTCTAGGGATGTCCGTCAGTCTGTCTGTCTGGATGGCTTGTGCACACGATAACTCTCGAAGGGAGTATCCGATTTGATCCAACTTGGTACATCGTAATATTATTGTCAAACTTAGATCGAGTTCGGAGATGGGCAATATCGGTCCACTCCTTCTGGTACCTCCCCCACAAAAGGTCGAAATTTTTCAAAAATATATTTTTTGCACACAAAGACAAAGGATAATCCGATATGGTCAAACTTATCCTAATATTTACGTCAGTGCAACGACAGGTTCGAAAAGAGAAAACATCGGTCCACAAATGGTTCAAATGTTGAATAATTGCAACTCAAATAAAATAAGAGTCCGATTGTCTTCAAATTTCAACACATCCCAATATTTGTATAAACCCAATATCTGGTGTAAAGATGAAATATATCGGTCCACTCCTTCTGGTACCTCCCCCTCAAAAGGTCGAAATTGTGAATATCCATTAAACTCATAAAACGCGAAATTAACATTGGATTCCATTAGACTTTGCACATCTGAATATTTCTATCAACACAAGATCTGTAGGTAGAGATCTGACCATTCCTCCTACTACCTCCCCCACAAAGGGTCAAAGTTTTAAATAACCAAAACGTTTATAAAATCCGAAATTAGCTTCAGGTTCTCTTTATATTTCACACATAACAAAAGATCCTGTGAAGGTGGGATATATCGGTCCACTCCTTTTGATAACTCCCCCACAAAGGCTTAAAATTTTGAATGTCCATGAAGCTCATAAAAATCGAAATTGATATCCGATTCTATTCAAAAATTGCTACATCCCAAAATTTCCATTAACAGAACACAGTCCAAACCTAGCACGTCGCAATATTTGTATCATATTTATTTAGGTCCGATACGATATAGCCAATATTGGCCAATTTCTTCGGAACCAACTGCATAAGGGGTTAAACATTTGAATAATCATAACATAAGTCAAAATATTTTAAATAATCGAACATCAGCTCAGGGTATACATCTGTCGGCAAAACCGACCGATATACTTTTTTACTTGTTATGTTATGTATGTCTAGAATATTTCTTTCTTTGACAATTTCCTCAAATAATTAGAAATTAAAGGAGATTTTGACAGAGAATGAAAAGATGCTTTGGAAAACGTAAACACCTTTTTTTCCCTCGTAATATATCAATTTCGAATGTAATTTTCGTAAAAACGATTAAACATAGATATATGATTTATTCGGAGATGTATTGTAAATTTTGTCCAGAATATTTCTTCTCCTGACAGTTTTTGCCTAAAACGAAGTTTTATGCCAATTTCATGCATCAACTCGAAAAAAGCCAAATAAAAAAAAAAACAAGTAAAATAGCATCAGTTTTACCGACAAATATATACCCCCAAGCCTTGAGTAATGATTATTCCAACTGTTGTTGACCCTTTATAAAGAGAGTCGGATGTTTATATCGCTTTTGGAGCGTTTTGTTTTTCAAAAAATTTGAATCCTCTCTTGGGGAGGTATCCAAAACAAATGGTCCGGCCTGTACCATCTTTATCTTGTTTTTATGGAAATATTGAGATGTGGCAAGTCTGAATGGAATCGGATATTAATTTCGCGTTTAACGAGCTTCATGGATATTCAAAATTTTGACCCTTTGTGGGGGAGGTACCAGAAGGGGTGGACCGATATATCCCATCTCTGCCATCTTTATAACGGATCTTGTTTTTTATGGAAATATTGAGAGGTTCCAAGTCTGAATGGAATCAGATATTAACTTCGCGTTTAATGAGCTTCATGGATATTCAAAAGTTGACCCTTTGTGGGGAGGTACCAGAAGGAGTGGACCGCTACATTCCATCTTCACAGCAGATCTTGTGTTCATAAACGTATTGGGATGTGCGAAATTTGAAAATAATCTGACTCTTTTTTAATCTTTTATAAGAGTTGTAATTATTCAACATTTTAGAGGTAGCAGAAGGAGTGACCCGATATAATCCATCTTCACACCAGACATTTGGTTAATAAAGTATTGTGATGTGTGTAATTTGAAGACAATCGGTCTCTTACATAAGAGTTATATTATTCAAATTTTGACTCTTTGTGGGGGAGGTACTTGATGGAGTGGACCGATATTATCCACTTTCGTATCTGGCTAGAACTGATGCAATCATTATGATTTCCAAAGTTGGAGCACAATCGGATTATCCTTTCTCTTTCTGTGCAGTAAAATATTTTCACTCCAGAAGGAGTGAACCAACATTACATATCTCCAACTCGATCATAGTTTTATAATATTATTACGATTTACAAAGTTTGGACCTAATCGCATACACCCTTCGAGAGTTATTGTGCGCACCAGCCAGACAGACGGACGGACGGACATCGCTAAATCGACTCCAAATGTCCTGAAACGGATTTGGTACAAAGTAACCTAGGGTCTGAAACCCTTATTTCGATGAGGCACATTTTGGCCGCATCAAATGATAGCCATGTGACTTATGGTATAAAAATCCAAATTTTCAACCATTTTAGGGGGAAGAATCCCAAGGAATCCTATATTTACTTTGGGTCTATGGTTGATAGAAATTAAGACGTACACAATGTTTAAAGAGAAAACCTAAGTCCTTTTTTCGCAAGCCTAAGGATTATAATTTTTAAAAATGTTGAACCTTATGGGGTAGGTACCAAAAGAAGTCTATTCGGTCTTCATATCAGATCTTGCCTTGGTAGAAATATTGCGATGCATGAAATTCGAAGATAATGGGACTCATATTTCCGAATTATAAAATTATTCAAAATTTGAACCCTTTGTGGGGAGCTACTAGAAGTAGTGACCGATAATATCCTCCACCGAATACGATATAAGTTGATAATAATTTTACGACACACCTATGGACCAAATCGGATACTCCCTTCACCAGCCGGCCGGAAAGACGAATCGTCTCCTAACAGCTTTAAACGGATTTCGTCCAAGGAGACCTAGGGTATAAAACCGTTATTTCGATATGGGTCGTCTTGGACGTATCAAATAATATATACCATCTGTGGCCATAAGGTAGTGGGTATAAAAGGCTTCGAAGTAGAAATTTCCGAATATATGAATTCCAGGCGTTTAGGTTAGATTTGACTGAGACTCTTGACGTCTTCTACAGCTATAGTAGAATTTCATGATAAATAATTTCGTAGGATATTTTGACTTGCTACGGTCCATCAAAAACGTGGATTTAACACTACTTTCATAATCTGCTGGAATTTTCCCGTAATAATTGAAAAAAAAATGTCGCACAGTGTGATGAGTACTTCCTTTTTTAGGTATCCTCAGAAACTTTGAGATATCTCAAAAGGGAATTTTACACTACCAAAAAAACTTGTTGTTCATTGCAATATGTTCCTTACCTATTTTAAACTATGTACCTCTTCCCAATTTCGTTGTCATTACCCATAATTTTTTTTCTTCAAACTGTTTTAAAAAAAAAAACAAAACACTCAATCAATCAAAACGTGCCAAAGTCATAAAAAACAAACACGGCAACAATTTGAAATGCATAGCAAAAACGGTTACGTTATGTGTGGCGTTAAGAAATCCATTTGAATTTTTAAAATGGATTGACTCACAGAAGAGAGCAGCTGGAACGACGATATGTAACAAATTAATTTTTCAAGTTCATTAGAATTTATTTAAATTTTAATTTAAGAAGAAAACGCACACTCACACACCTTTGGATGGGTTTCTTATGAGTCATTGGTTTTATAATTCGCATGCCTTAACGTCAAACAGATTCGAAACTATTTATTTATTTACTTTTTGTGAAAGGAAGTTTATTTTGCGTAATTTCCAATATTGGCAAATTCTGTGAAATAAAAATATTTTTTTGCATAATTCCAAATATTGTTTAGGCCTCCGGGGCCAAGTGTTTCACATTTTGTGGTTTATAATTATTGAAACGATTAATTAATGAATGAATGAATTCTGATCGTTGTAATGACGTTTACACACATTTGGGCGCCAACGAAATGGCAATACAATCTCTTTCAATGCTTTTAGAACAAAGTGTGTTGACTCATTTGTGGTAAGTTATTGTAATTGGTTGGCGTGATTCTTGTTGCTCTTTTATTTGTGTAGAATTAAGGTGCCCGGAAATAATCCCCATGGCAATTATGGCGATTTTGGATCATAAGCCGGATTATAAAGTGGGGATTATATCCGAATTTCCCCAGAAGGAAAACAAGGCCTAAGTTGAGTTTAGAGGCTATGCTCGGAAACCCTGTAGAGGGTTTCTATCCGTGGAAAATCTGTATAAGGTCTTCTTGACATAGAAGATCTTCTAGTCATAGAAGACCTTTATAAGGCCTTTGGAAAATAAAAGACCTGTAGAAGGCCTTATAGCCATAAACTCCTGTAGAATTTCTTCCAATCATAGAAGACCTGTAGAAGGTCTTCCCG